ATTCTCAGATAATAGTTTAATGGCATTTGAACAATTGATAAAGAAATACCAGCTTCCTAAACAAGCTTTTTTCCATTTCTTACAAATAAGGCATTAAATATAATGGTCGTACTCTTAGCAATAGCTAATAGCAATAGCTAAGAGTACAACTATTATTGAACATCCTGGGATTTCTGCTATTGAGAAAATGCTGTTTCAACATCCAGAGAAGGCGTCTCTTAGTTTGCTTTATGATGTAATGTGTGGTATGTCTTCTACTAATACACAGGGGATTAAAGACGTCTTTGAGAAGGACTTATCAGTAACTATTGGCGAGAAGACGTGGGAAGATATTTGGAGTTACGCTAAAAAGATATCCATCTGTACTCAGGCGAAAGCAATCCATCTTAAAATAATACAAAGGTTGCATATATCTCCTAATCGCAGGCATTCTTTTAACCCATCACTTCCTCCTCTGTGTCTTAAATGTAAAACTGAAATAGGTACCTTAACCCATTGCCTATGGTTGTGTCATAAATTACAGAAATATTGGTCTGACATACTATGTGAAATGGAAAGAATATTTGATAGGGATATAGAAATGGATCCAATATGTTTGATTTCGGGCCTCCCAAGTAGACGTATAACCACTATAGCTGGCAAAAGGTTATATAACATTCTTACTTTTGCTGCTAGGAAAAATATATTGTTACAGTGGATTAGTGATAAGAGCCTTTCTGTTAATAGTTGGTATGAGGTCATATTTGAGTTGGTTCCTCCGGAATATCTTATGAATATTCTACATAACAAAGCAGACCAGTTCTACAAAGTCTGGCAGCCCTACTTGAACTATCTTGGACCTGACTTTTCTTCCATTACTGTGCAGGGGAACTCATAAATCTGGGCTCTTGTGACCTGTGATTTGCCTGTAATGTGAATGTTTCCTGTGGCCTGTGCGCTTTGGCCTGTTGGTATTGTCCATATGTTTGTTTTGTTTAATTATTATTGTTGTTGTAAAACATAAGAAAACCCAATAAATATATTGTAAAAAATTGTCCTCACAATTATAGAAAGACATAACACACATGCGAAGAACCACACATCAACAAGCACACACAAGTACACGAAAATACAGGGGTTGGACAATGAAACTGAAACGCCTGGTTTTAGACCACAATAATTCATTAGTATGGTGTAGGGCCTCCTTTTGCGGCCAATACAGCATCAATTCGTCTTGGGAATGACAGATACAAGTCCTGCACAGTGGCCAGAGGGATTTTGAGCCATTCTTCTTGCAGAATAGTGGCCAGGTCACTACGTGATGCTGGTGGAGGAAAACGTTTCCTGACTCGCTCCTCCAAAACACCCCAAAGTGGCTCAATAATATTTAGATCTGGTGACTGTGCAGGCCATGGGAGATGTTCAACTTCACATTCATGTTCATCAAACCACTCTGTCACCAGTCTTGCTGTGTGTATTGGTGCATTATCATCCTGATACACGGCACCGTCTTCAGGATACAATGTTTGAACCATTGGGTGCACATGGTCCTCCAGAATGGTTCGGTAGTCCTTGGCAGTGACGCGCCCATCTAGCACAAGTATTGGGCCAAGGGAATGCCATGATATTGCAGCCCAAACCATCACTGATCCACCCCAATGCTTCACTCTGGGCATGCAACAGTCTGGGTGGTACGCTTCTTTGGGGCTTCTCCACACCGTAACTCTCCCGGATGTGGGAAAGACAGTAAAGGTGGACTCATCAGAGAACAATACATGTTTCACATTGTCCACAGCCCAAGATTTGCGCTGCTGGCACCATTGAAACCGACATTTGGCATTGGCACGAGTGACCAAAGGTTTGGCTATAGCAGCCCGGCCGTGTATATTGACCCTGTGGAGCTCCCAACGGACAGTTTTGGTGGAAACAGGAGAGTTGAGGTGCACATTTAATTCTGCAGTGAGTTGGGCAGCTGTGGTTTTATGTTTTTTGGATACAATCCGGGTTAGCACCCGGACATCCCTTTCAGAGAGCTTCCTCTTGCGTCCACAGTTACTCCTGTTGGATGTGATTCGTCCTTCTTGGTGGTATGCTGACATTACCCTGGATACCGTGGCTTTTGATACATCACAAAGACTTGCTGTCTCGGTCACAGATGCGCCAGCAAGACATGCACCAACAATTTGTCCTCTTTTGAACTCTGATATGTCACCCATAATGTTGTGTGCATTGCAATATTTTGAGCAAAACTGTGCTATTACTCTGCTAATTGAACCTTCACACTCTGCTCTTACTGGTGCAATGTGCAATCAATGAAGATTGGCCACCAGGCTAGTCAAATTTAGCCATGAAACCTCCAACACTAAATTGGCAGGTGTTTCAGTTTCATTGTCCAACCCCTGTACACTGTATTGATTTATCTTAGAGTTGCTCTCATACCTGAGTTAAAAGGCTAAGAATTAATGAGTTTAATTAGCCAATCAGTATCAGTTTTGCCCATTTCTGCCCAGTAAAACCTGCTCCTGAATTTGTATTGCAGTCAGTGGGAGAGGTGAAGGGTACTCCCATCACTTCCTTAAAAACTGTAAAACAAATCAGAATGAGACCAAAACTGGGTAATACTGGACAAAAAAAACCTCTACATTTTTGATATAAAAATTATCAATGAAGGTTGGAAATTGTGGGATTTAAAAGAGCTTGTCTGACTTTTTTTGAGGAAAATTTTTAAGGATGGCAGTCACAATGTGCTGTTAGCTCTGGTTAGCGAATGTAGCTGTGCCTAAAGACAGCAGACATCGCTGAAGATGTAATAAATATCTCAATCCTCTACACTGAAGTTGCAACACACTGCACCAAATGAGGGAGAGAGAGAGAAACTAGTGCTAACTGCTAAGCTAAAGTAACTAGCAGATCTGAATTGCATGTAAACAACTGCTGAGTTAGTGAAGGTCACTAAAAGGAGCAAAGAGCTCTGAGTGCTTGAGCAGAACTAGTGTAAGTTTAAATTACAGCAGGTAGTTAGACGCTGTGATGAAGAAAACAGCAGCAACATTAACTGTGTTCAGACGGAGCAGCAATAAACTCTACCAGTAACAGAAACTGACTGGAGTTGGAACAACACACTGACATCAGCTTGTCACCACATGAACGCTGTCACTACTATTAGTGAAAAGACATCAGTAGAAATCAATCACTGTGTAAAAATGTTCTCAGATGAAAGAACAAAGTAAGTCATTAAAAATATTTCTGAGTAAAGGCGTTACATTTGAAAATGGGGATGGAGGGGTAAAACATGTTATAGTGATAATAATAATATATGATGAAACTATGGGGGTGGCACGGTGGTGCAGTGGTTAGCGCTGTTGCCTCACAGCAAGAAGGTTCCAGGTTCGAGTCCCGGCTCGGACACGGGGTCTTTCTGTGTGGAGTTAGCATGTTTTCCCCGTGCCTGTGTGGGTTCTCTCCGGGTACTGTGTGGGCTTCCTCCCACAGTCCAAAGACATGCAAATGGGGACTAGGCTGATTGAATACTCTAAATTGACCATAGGTGTGACTGTGGATGGTTGTCTGTCTCTGTGTGTTTGCCCTGCGATGGACTGGCGACCTGTCCAGGGTGTACCCCGCCTCTCGCCCAAAAGGATGCTGGGATAGGCTCCAGCCCCCCCGCGACCCTACTAGGGGATAAGCAGTTGAAAATGGATGGATAAAACTATGAAATTAACATGTTTAGGTTACCAGATATATCAGTTCCCAGGTGAGAACAGCAATGAAATCAACCTTTGGAGCCTGAGGCTCTTTGGAGCCTGAGCATACACCTGATAATTACTAATATACTCAGTTGGCAATTGGCAAAAAATGTAGTGTATATTAAATTATGGAGAGGTTTTTCTGTTATTTAGCCTACCTTCAGTGATAAAAATGGGGTGGTGGGGATGAAGGGTGGTGTGTGTGTGTGTGTGTGTGTCTATGAGCCTCTAAAATGACTATTTGTGAAAAAACGGTCACTCGTATCAGAACCATGAGTGGACCATGGCTGGAACAAGATCTTCGTGCACTGCATGTCTGGATTTGGTGTTTCTAGAGCTAAAAATGTGGACACAGGAGCGAGTTACAAACAAATGTCACTTTGCATTTTTGTAGAACTCAGCTCCTGAATTTGTATTGCAGTCAATAGGAGAGATGTAGGATACTCCAATCACTTTGAGGCTCATGTTCAAATTCTGTTAATCCCTGTGCTTAGGTAGACACATTCTATGAAACAGGACAAATTTCTCGACTATCGAGGAAGCCGTGATGTGTGAAGATTGAAATATGAAATACGAGTTAAACAGAATTTTTTCAGAGGAATTCCAGAGATTCTCCCACTCTAGCGATGATTTCATCCACTCTAGCTCTGAACATTCTGTGCAATACACCCCCATTATAAATTCTGAAACGGTCAAAAAATGACACTAAACATAATTTTGTGTAAACTGGAATAGTTGTCAAAATATCAATTTAACCCAAAAGAGTCTCAAGTCTTGTGACCCATTTAACGTTTCAACCATTTTTCTATGTTGAAGTATGATGCAGCAGTTGAGCTCCAAAGTTGGTCATTTTGAAGACATCTCCCCATTCATTCTCTATGGGATTTTTTTCATCTTTCATCGCCATTTACATCGCCATGGTTACTCGAATCGCTTAGAAAAGTCATAGCACACCATTCCTGATCAAGCATTGATATATATATTGTCTGGGTTTTCTCAAAGCTGTAGGACTAGTTACGCCCTGAAATTTCGATACGGAGGAGGAATAAGACGAACTAGGAAATGCGTTTCCTACTGAAAATGCGTATGAATGCTGAGAGCTGAATGAGATGGCTGAAGCAATGCTGAAGAAGTTAAAGCAACTGCTAGAATAATAATATATGCCTTCAATGCTACTGCATTGCAGGCACATAATAATAATGGTAATTTCATGTATATTTCTGTATCACTGCGTTGTAACTACAGTGTGTGTTCGTGTGTTCATGTTTTCCTCAGTGGTCCTCCCCCTCAGCAGAGTGACTCCAGATGGGCTGATCTTTGTTGCTCAGTGGGTTCTCGTGGCTCTCGTTGGCTACTGGCTCATCTCCCTCGCTTTCCGATTGGTCGCCTCCACTGTGAAGCGGGCCCTGTGGCTGCTGAAAGTGGGTGTGGCCTTGGCCTGTTTCGGGCTCATCCTGAGTGACCACAGCGTGGGCACAGAAGCCATGGCTGTGCGACTGGCCGGCCTGATGTGCGTCTGCGTCCTGCTGGGCGTTGGAAGTGGGTGGGGCTCTAAGGCGGCTGATAGAATGGCTCACCTCGAGGAGCAGCTGAAGGTCCTGGAGCGGCAGCTCAGAGAGATGGAGGGGTGGAGGAGGATGGAGGAGTGAAGCTCTGTACGTCTTCCTGTAAAAACACAGATGTGACGTGAATCTTTTCTCCTCCCTCAGCAGGAAGACAAACCATCACATCTACATCACCACGCCGACGACACCTCGTCCGTCCCGCTCAGTGACACCTGAAGGAGCTTCTTCAGATTTGGTACAAACATTCACCAGGACTCAAGGATGAAAGGTCACTGTGACCTCACCAGACATGTTATAACTCAAGAATTAATTCACTAATTATGACACTATTTAACTCAAATGTCTGACAGAATAAAATGGTGAAGTAATGACATTTTATATCGAAAAGGTTAAAGGTTAAACTTCACTGTGACATCATAATGTTCAGTAAAAACACCTCTGGTCATCACTCCTGTCACACTGTAACTCAGGAAGGAGAGACTGTGACTATGTTTCTGACACTTGAGTTGATTCCAGCTCAGTGATGACACAGACTCTAGATGTTCTCAGTAAATGTTTCAGGGCAGAGAGAGAGCAGGCATTTCAAGTGTTATTTGAAAAGCTGTCCTTGCCTTACTTGTGGAGTGGGAAGTGTCTGTGCCTGTCATGTAGTTGGTCACATAGTACCATTGTATTTAAAGCTGTTTGCGAGGTCCAAAGCCAGAGACTTTTTATATCTTCTGAGATGAATGTGCAGGGAGAAATGCTGTTTCCATATTCTAATAAAAATTCAATCTAATGTTTCACAGATGTAAAGATCCAGTTAGAGAAGACTGGACTGACCTCAGTTTGTTATAGAGCAGCACCCATTTTGTTTTCAGGTTGTCCATACATCTGTCACATTCTCGTGGACATGATATCTCAGTAACACCTTGATGGAACTTCTTCAAATTTGGCACAAAGACTCACATGGACTCAAGAATTAACTCATTAGATCTTGGTGGTCCAAGGTCAAAGGTCTGGGTGTGGTGACCTCAGAAAACACTTTTCAGCCATTACTCAAGACTTCAGACAGAAATTATGACAAAATTTCACACAAATGGTTCATATTTTACGTGTGTCTGGATACACAGGGATGTAACCTGGAATTAGTCTGAGTCGGGAGTGATACAACCATGACAAGGTGATTCTAGTTCATCTTAAGTCACAGAGCTTCTTTAAAAAACCCAGACGATGTCTCCAGAAACACAAACAACTGATAGAAATCCTTTTTTCATCACCTAAATTTGTCTACATTAATTTAAACAATTTAAACAAGTGCAACTCAGACATTGTCACACAAGTGTCCTTCTAATAGGTGAGTGGTGTCAGTGAGGTCACGCCCAAACTGACTAAGACATTAATGAGTCTGGTGGATGTGGGCACAGAGCTGGACCTGGCTCCAGACACACATGAGAGGCATAGAGCTTTAGGTTCTCAAGGCCTGAACTTGAGCTTCCTACTGGAAATTAAAATGTCTGCAAACAGTATGACATCAGCATCATGTGATCAGAAGGTTAAAGTATTAAGTCATTTCAAACATTTATTTTAACAGTCTGAAGCTCGTGGTGCATTCAGGGCGTGTCCAATGACACTTTTACTAGTCTCACTGGTCAGGACTGGACTCACTGGACTCACTGGTCAGGACTGGTCCAGTAAGTCCAGTCCTGACCAGTGAGTCCAGTCCTGACCAGTGAGATCAGTCCTGAGCAGTGAGTCCAGTGAATCCAGACCTGACCAGTTAGTCCAGTCTCAACCAGTGAGAACAGTGAGCCCAGTCCTGACCAGCGAGCCCAGTGAGTCCATTCCTGACCAGTGAGTCCAGTCCTGACCAGTGAGACCAGTCCTGACCAGTGAGTCCGGTGAGTCCAGTCCTGATCCGTTAGTCCTGTGATTCCAGTGAATCCAGTCCTGATCAGTGAGTCCAGTGAGACCAGACCTGACCAGTGAGTCCAGTCCTGACCAGTGTGTCCAGTCCTGACCAGTAAGTCCAGTCCTGACCCATGAGTCCAGTGAGACTTGTCCTGACCAGTGAGACCAGTCCTGACCTGTGAGTCCTGTGAGACTAGTCCTGACAAGTGAGATCATCGAGTCCAGTGAAACCAGTCCTGACCAATTAGCCCAGTCCTGACCAGTGAGATCAGTGAGTCCAGTGAGACGAGTCCTGGCTCACTGGTCAGGACTGGACTTACTGGACCAGTCCTAACCAGTGAGTTCGGTAAGACCAGTGACCCCAGTCCTGACCAGTGAGACCAGTGAGACCAGTGAACCCAGTCCTGACCAGTGAGACCAGTGAGTCCAGTCCTGACCAGTGAGATCAGTGAGTCCAGTGAATCCAGTCCTGACCAGTTAGTCCAGTCCTAAACGGTGAGTCCACCAGTCCTGACCAGTGAGACCAGTGAGCCCAGGCCTGACCAGTCAAATCAGTCCTGACCAGTGAGTCCGGTGAGACCCGTCCTGACCAATGATTCCAGTGAGACCAGTCCTGACCAGTGAGTCCAGTGAGTCCAGTCCTGACTGGTGAGTCCAGTGAGACCTGTCCTGACTTTTTCCACAACTCATTATGGGCTAAATTAACACCTCTCATTTGGTTTTCTGGTGGTCCAACTGAAAATAATCATCCAATTAATTAGATATTAGGCTTTAGTATTTCAATTAAGAAGTTGGCATTCTTTGAATGGGTGTGTATTGGAGCCAGAGTTTTTTGGAGCCAGCCCCTAGTGGCCCTCAGTAGTATTGCACCTAAAGTCACTTCCGCATTAGCTTCACTTCTCAGCCCTGCAGCTTACATCCATTTTTATATACAGTCTATGGTGTTATTGCATGACCTCTCTGTGGGTGAAGGTGTCATTTTCACAACGTCAAGCTGTTTGTTTGAGCTCAACAGCTAATGAAAATAAAGACCACAAACATCTGCACTCATTGCTTCATACTATGGTATGATGTACATACAGGCAGTTACAAGGGATTTTCCTCGGAAAAAGGGTGCATGACATTTTATCTGCCCGCGCAGTTCTCAGGCCACTCCTCCACCCAGTTACCCCATCTGACCACCAGCTGAGGTTAGTCAGCATGCAAAAGTGTGTTGCTGACTGAAGAGACAGTGCTGGACACAGTGTAGGACACAGTGTAGCCCCAGTGAGTAATGATTGAAAGAAAATGAGTAGTTTGTGGTCTGTAGGAAATGTGACATGCAGGGGGAGGAGACAAACATACCATTCCTCCAGGTGTACTGGTCAAACCTGTTTTTCCCCAAAGCGGATGATGATGGAGGAAGGGTGAAGGACGTCTTTATCCAGATTTGCTTCATGACTGTGATGTGACATGATTGTTTGATGTGGAATAGAGCTGCATCTCTTCCTCTCATTCTACCTTAGTCTCTTTATGTGTCTCTCAACTTTGACCTGGAGGAATGTGAGTCCTGTATAAAGAGGGCTGGGGGCTCTTTGAAAGTTTGTTGCTCATTGCATCTTAAAGAGAAACTGTATTTCCTTCTGTCTTTCTCAGTCAGCAAACAGCTCAAACGGGTTCCTGCGATGCTCGTCCTCCTCTTCAATCATCAGGTTCTCTCTGCATTCTCTGCCGTTTTGAGACATTGAGCTTCAAGGTTTTTGCATTACACACAGTAAAACTGATGTGGAACACGATTCTCTCTCAAACATTAAAATGACACCCTAAATGTTTTCTACGAGCACAATATCAAAATCCTATCAGATTTGTAGGGTTTTATTTTTAACAAATGCAGATAGAACCTTGTAATCCTGAGAACTCACTTCCTGCTTGAAATCTTTCTATGATTTATATGTTTCAAAACATGAAAAGAAGAAATTAAATGATATTCAAACAGTTCACTCATCATTAGTTTTAAAACACAACATCAGTGTTGTAACAGAGCATCTACATGTGTCAGAAAAATCTGAATGTGTTCAATGACTTGGAACAATTACATATATTGACATTTTTGTCTGACACATACAAATATGTATGTTTATGTATATATGCTTATACTGTAGACTTATGTTATATATATACTGTATATCCATTTCATTTCTGTTGATATATGTTGATATAATATATATTCATAGTAAATACAAAAGATAAAATGTGTAAAATTATTAAGAAATACATTTATAATGCTTTTAAATGTATATCAAAAGTTATAAAGTATTTTTTTTTAATAAACTCACATTTATAAATAAATATATATCCATCAAAAATATGTTATATTGTATAAAAAGTCATCATATAAATATATTTATGTACAAAATGTACTATGGGTATTTCATATATGTTATAAACCAATATCTTCATATATCCAGAGGATGTATAAATGTGATAATAATATTGTTAACATATACGGCAACATAACTCTTGATATAGGGACAAGTATGTTATATATTACATTTCTGTGTGGTTGAAATCTAGTGATATATATTTACATTTTTGTTTCACATTATACAGAGCTGTCAACACACTCAAACAAACAAGAAGAAGTCTCAGAGCTACTCATCCATATATAATTATATATGTTGAACAGGTTTTCACACAGGACACAGTGTGAGCAGCACAGTCTGTCTTCATTAAAACTTGATCTGAGATAATGTTTGTTATATGATCTGATTATTGATTCCTATGTAACCTCACGACTACAGCAGCTGGTGGAGCTTAGCTGCTACTGTGAGTAAAATAAACAGGAGGAGTCAGACAGTTTTGTGAGGCTGTTTGATTTGGACTTTGTTACAGTTGTTCGACTTTGTAGAGGACCTCAGGTTTAACACAAGGTTTAATAAAAAAGATAATACTGTGAAGTGTTGTGACTGTTTCATTTATATAAATTGTTTGTCTTGTTTGGCCTTGAAGTTCTCGTAGCCTCACACCTACAAACATTTGAGATACATGGTGTTATGAAACAGACATTCTTCTAATAATCACTTCCTGTTTCGTTAAACTGTTCTACACTGCTCTTGATGCATTGTTGGATTTCAAAGCAGCTCAGTCTCACTAATCAGGACTAGATAGATAGATAGATAGATAGATAGATAGATAGATAGATAGATAGATAGATAGATAGATAGATACTTTATTTATCCCCTGAGGGGAAATCCATGTGTCCAGTAGCTCATTGGTAATAATAATAATAATAATAATAATAATGATAATAATGATAATAATAACAACAGTTAATTATAAATAAGAAACAATAATAATTAAATTAGTCCAGTTCCTTTGGCTGAGGTGTTGTACAGTCTGGTGGCAGTAGTAGGTAGTAGGATCATGCAGTGGGCAGTTTCCTGAGGTAAGGTGGTGTAAAAAAAAACAAACAGCAGGAAATGTGTTTTAAATTACTACCAGATCCAGTTAGCAGGTTTTTCCCTAAGAAAAAAAGGTGCATGACATTTTATTTGCCCCTATTATGTTACTCAATTGAAGAAGATGTTGCACTTTCTCAGTTACCCCATCTGCCCTCCAGCTGAGAGGATAGTCAGCATGCAGCAGTGAAGCTGTGAACTACCTGTACACTCAAAAAAAACGGATTGGGTGTATGTTACATTATCCCAAGTCAAACATGTAGCTTCTGTTAGATAAAATCATGTTTTGTAGTTGAACAATTTTCAATCATGTAGTTTCAGCATAAAATTCAACAACTTAAAATTTACTGGAATAATGTATGTTAACGCAACGTCATCCTGATGGGTTTAGATGGCAAATCACTTCTGCATACAACTCCAGAGCAGAAGGGGGCAGTAATGTGCAAGTGTGCAGTAATGT